TTTTTCTTGGTATGTACCTATTTTTTTAGTTTATGGGTATTTTTATTTTATTTTTATGATCTTTTTTTACACCAAGATATGTATTTTTAAAATTTATATACTTATTTAAATCAAAAATACCCTTTTGTTCTAAGTATCCACATCGACGATGCGTCAACCTCGCCATCTCTGAAGTCTAAATTGATTTGCCCCTAACAAGTCTAAGTTTTTTTTTAGATGTGTTCGAACGACATACATAAGGATCATCGAAGTTTAGATATTAGTTATATAAACACATAAAAATTAAGTGGCGAACATATAAATATTCGAGAAATATATATAACATGTATCTGAATAAATAGAAATTGTGTGATGAACGTGTAAGATATATATAATTTGCAAAACGTGTATGTAAAAAAATTTAGGAAATAGAGTGGCAAACATGTAAATATATAAGAAAATAGTGTTGTGCACGCAAATACAAGACATTTAGGAGGTGTGCATGAAAAGATAGAAAAATTAATTGTATTGCATGTAAATATAGATGATACGTGACATGCATGTAAATTCATTTTTCATTTTTTTTCATTTTTTTTAGACGTGTAAATACATAAGAGGGTGGTATGCATGTAAAATTTTGTATGGAAATACATAGGAATTGGGTGGTATATATGTAAAAATATTTTGTGCAAATATAAAGTAATTGGGTGGTATATGTAAAGTTTTCATTTCTTTTTTTTTCTGCTCTCTTCGTTCTTCGTTCTTCGTTCTCTCTGCGTTCAGCGAAGAAGAAGACGAAGGGATGATGGGAGAGGGGCTTACCTGACCGAGGCTCGTCGGCGGGAAGGGTTCGTCGAAGAGAAGCTCGCCAAAGGAGGAAAAATGGAGAGGAGGTGGTGCTTCACGAGTAGGGAAAAAGAATGAAGTGTGAGAGCTTGCTTGCCTGAGTGAAGGGAGGAGTATTGGGTTTTATAGGAGGAGAGAGAGAGGGGAGGTTGGCGTGAGAGATGTGCTGCTCGAGAAGAGAGGCAGAGATGCTGCATGTGTGAGTTCCTTTTTCTTGTTAATAGAATTGGATATCATTTTTTTATATATATTATTTTTTTTATGATGAGCGCATGAGATATGATCATCTAGAGAAAGGGATAAATTTGTTTTTTATCATACAGCCGAGATAGAGAGAGAGAGATAAGAGAGGCGTGAAGATGATAAGACTGCGTGACTTTTAATCAGTAGGAAAAGTATGGAGAGGTGCATTGTAAGTTTCATGTGAGTGTGGAGAAGAAATTTGTGTGAATCCTTTGATAAGCTCTCTTATATTCATAATGAAATTTGTGATGGTGTGGCTCCGTGGTTTTTTTCCGCTCTCAGGTTTGTCCACGTAAAATTCTTGTGTTCTTTTCAGGTTAATTTTTTACTGTGCTTCTAGTTTAAATGTATTATTCTGATTTTCTCGAATCCTGTAGTCCTATTCTGCTTTAACATTGAGAATTGTTGGGAGGATTCTCAACATCCATCCCGTACGGGTATGAGAAAATCCCGCAGACAAGTGCGAGAAAAGCCAACTAGCTGGCATGAGGCGTCGATCCAGGCCCTAACTGGACTGGGAACCCTATAGAGGAATGTCGCCAGCCCCTTCTTCCACCTTTCTTATGCACTATTCTCCTAATGGAAAGCCTTTAATGGCTATTTTCTGGAGTATTCCCACCCCTTCCTTTTGTGTGGAAGTTTTGTGTGCTACCTCTTTCCTTTTCTCCTCCAATAGGAGTCTATATATTGTTGTTTTCAATGACTTAAGGCTCAGCCTTTGTTGTTTTCAGATTTTAGATTCTTGTGTGGAGCTGTTCTCCCTATTTTAGGGTTATATCCGTGGAGGTGATGGTGTTTCGACTGTATCCTACTATGAGGTTGTGTTATATTTTCCTTTTACCCTTACCTAACCGTTCTCCTCCTCTCTCCTCCGCTGCTGGCCTCCCCATACTTCATCCCAGCACCCATACGCCCTTCCTAAACAACCTAACATTGCTGTCCAACTTCCTAGATTTCCTCTCAGCACCCAGTCAGTCTTTTCCAGTGGCCTAACCTGCTGTCCAGACCCCATCCCAGCCTGCCAAATCTTATTTCCTGCATTTCTACTTGTTGTCCACTCCGACAGACGCTCCCCACTTCAGGCTGCCCCCATTATTGCCCTCCACTAGGTTATCTCGGCCCTCTGGACTACCTGCCAGCCCCTGACAACCTTTTACTACAGCCACTCTCACTGTCAAGCCCACTTACTGAACCCCAAACCCCTACCTAACCGACCTCGCCACCAACAAAACCTCCTCCATAACCTCACTATGTTGCAGACGCTGCCCTGCCCTCAGATCTACTCTTTCATCCCTAGATGGAGAATGGTATGTCGTTGTTTTTTCCTTTCCATTGTTTCGTGTTGTAACCCTCTTTTTATATTAATAAAAATTTGCTTTTGTGTTCCCCTAAATCCTTACTAGTTCCGGTAACACTACTTCTATTCTTACTTACGTAGAATTCAAATATTTTGATATATGCATAGATGATTACTCAATGTTCACTAAGTACTCTTAATCAAATGTTAGTCAAATGTCATTCATGAATTTCAATATTTTAATAAGAAAATAAACATTTGATTGCCAACTTAATAAAAAATTTATGTGATAATAACGCTTTAAATTTGATATAATTTTAATTTCAAATATTTTGTTTCAACAATATCAAAATTCATTAATTTCTTATTCATATGCATCTCAATAAAATGATATTAATGAATGCAAGAAGTCACCACCTGCTTGATGTTGATCGGACTTAAATGTTTCATATGAGGGGTGGTAAATCACAATTTGAATGATATTTTACTAACATCAATGCTCTATATTACTGTTCTTCATCAAATATGAGCGAATGTAATATTGACTCTTTGAAATCTCATCAATCATATTCCCTCTCCTCTCCTCTATATTTGGTTGGTATTATGAAAAGAAAAAGTGAAAGATATTTCGAAAAAACTCAAGTTATGCCTAATAGAGTAGCGATTACCATAAAAAAATATGGGGAGTGACCAAAGAGATTTTAGTTGCAATTGGATTACATCAAACATAATATTATGTCCATATCACATTTGTAGAGATTATGGATATATAGAAAAATCTTTAAAATAATGCTCATTGGTATGTGTTATTTGCATATAAATAGTTCTAATATAGTTTGAATTGGTGAGTTTTTTTTTTAAGTAAGAAAATATTAGAACAATAGAATAAAAATAGAAAATCATGGATTTAGAATTAGCATAAATTAATTTTTTCTAGGGGTTTTAAATTTGATAATTATTGTTCAGTACAGTTGGAAGATGAAATGATTTATAAGTGTGATGGAATTAAGTATTTTGGACCTAATATACTAAAAAAAATATGTAGAGAGGATATATATTTTAGTGTTAAAATCAGGTAGTCAAAATGAAGTAGAGTACAATCGATAAGAGAGTATCATAAAGACTCAAAAGCAGTTTAATAGATTAGAAAAATACTGCCTATAAAATATATAATTAAACTCAAGCCACAACATTTCTGGTTAGGTTGACCAATATAAATACTTACCAAGCAAAAGTATATGACATGCCCCCATCTTTTATTGGTTCATTGTTATCCGAAAGAAGTGAACTCCAAAGGCCTTTTTATCTTTTTTTTTTTTTTTTTGATGGAGTAAACTTAACAAAATTTTGCAAGTGCTTAAAAACTTAGTATCAATTAAGAGATAGTTGAAGAATACTAACAAGGATTTGGATTTTAGAGGCTTATGTAATAGAAGCGGATCTTATCAATTGACTTACTACTAATGGTTTATTGGATTTCATCTATCCATTTGAATATCAATCACAACTAAAATTGCTAGCTCCCATCCCCTTTTAAGTTGTAAGAAAGCTGATAAGTTGACAAAAAAGGATTGATCCATATTATTTGGATCCCAAGGCTGAGCAAAGTTCAAGATCAAGTGGCTCCTAGCTGCTCCCCATATTTAGGTTTGGATCGAAATAAACAAGTCGAGCTACAAGCTAAAATTTTGGATCAAATTTTTTTGAGCCACAGCTCGAAATCAGATTGTTAACAACTTTAGTCAGTTAGGGCTGTGAATTTAATGAATTTAGCTTGAAGATTGTTAATCTCTCGAAAATTGATTCGAATTTTGGCTCGAATCGAGATCGGATCAAAATAATTGAGTTGAACTATGAGCTAAAATTTTGGATCAAATTTTTTTGAAGCCGATTTTGAGCCGACCACAGCTCGGATCTTTAACAACCCTACCCATACTTGAGTATATCGGCGCTAAGTAATTGTTTTCATGTAATTGGTAATGTGGAGGACTTCTATTTACATAAGAGACGGCAGAGTTAACATGAGATTTATCGGTTGAAGAATGGTCCACGCCCGCTGTTAGACAAAAGAATGGTATCATTATATAGCCGTAGGGACATCTTACTTATTAGCTTGAGCTTATGACTAGATGGTAGTCCATCATCTGGTTTACTAAGCACAACTCAAGTCCTAGAAGATTCATGCTGAAGTCTACTGAACTTGAACAAAAAATAAAACTCTTTTCGTCAGCACGCATATGACAAGACGAATTACAAATACTTGTTCAGTTGACTTAATGAAGCCAAAGACCAAAGAAAGTTGTCACTCGTCTACATAATGATCCCATAGAAATGCATTTTTTTGTTGCAGAAGGTTAGATCCTTGAAGAGAAAACCCCAAAAATTTTCGGTAGTAATATGTCTACTTTAGATTCCCAATAATTTGCATCTGAAAACTATACGAGCTTAACATTTATAGAAGAGTGCAAAGAACCAGGAAAAAGATGGATTTTTTCAAGTGATAGTACAAACAGATCAATAATCTGTTTAGTGCTCTGCTCTGCAAAAACAAAGCAAGTAATTCAACGTTTCTGCTACCAACTGGTTGTTTTTCCAACTTTAGTTGCAAGTTTCTAACATTTCCTTGGATTCACCATCTAAAAATATATAAATAAGGCTAGCAGAAACATCCAATCAGAACTTTTGAGTAAAAGTTTCAAAGCAATTCCCTTCTTTGTATATCGCAATGACTATGGCCTTTTAAGTAGCCTTTTTATTTGAGCTTTCACCTATAAGAGAGGATAGGGTAACAGTGAAAAGCACGGTCCGGCAAAGTTACACTTTTTCTCTCGATCAACAAAAGCACAAATAAGCTAAAAAAATCAACTAAAACATAAATGAAAGGAAATAAGCAGACCTTTCAGTAAGAAAGATTGAATCTTGGACTCACAGATTTTAAATTCTTGTTGAGATTCTGCAAGTCATCAGCAATTACACTAAGTAAATCAGACACCGAAATGGTACTCTTTCTATCACCCGTGGCAACCAAACCTTCAACGGGTGCTGAGATCCCAACGGCCACTACAAAAACCACATCAAATCAAATCAGGAACACAAAATCTCACCCTCCCGCCACATAAAATAAAGTTCTGAAGCAAAATACCATTTTGCGCTGATGAGACCTTACATCGAACATTTTCTGCGCGCCGGTAAGTCCCCGAAAATGAAATCTCCGGCCTTCGGTAACTCCTCAGCAAACCTGCCGCATCAAAGCTTCTTTTGGTGAGATCCAAACAGGGGAAAGTCAATGAGCACATCCTCCCACAAACTCAGTCGAAAGAGCAAGCAATTGCTCAGTTCCGGGGATTGTTCAGAACCATCACAATGGAGCAGAAAGCAGCAAAGCTCGGAGCTTTGACGATGAAGTACTCGAAGTTCATGAGTGGCGGCAGTTGGCCGGCGGGCGGCGGTTTGTTGGTGGGAAATGGAGGGGAGCGAGATGATGGAGGTGGAAGTTTGGTGATTTAAATAGGTGGAGGGGGAGGGGAAGGGGGCGGGGGAGAGTTGGATCCATGAGCGCCACACAGAAGCCGAGTATCTGGGTCAGCCTTATCAGTTGGGTGGTAACCTCAAGCTCTACGAAGAGGACAGTGTTGGCCATAGGGAGAGGAGAGGTCCATGGAGACGCTACTCCACGTGGTTCAATAGGTGTTGAACCCAACCCACTTTATAATTGGGAAAAAATATGTGTACATAAGAGGTATTGACATTATATCTATGTTATATCGTCTGTAGCTTCAATGTAACATTCATATAACCTACTTGTAACCTTACAAAGAAGTTCCGCGCTTCTGTTTTCACATATCTATATGTTACATGGAAGTTATATGGAGGTTATAAGGGATATAACACGAATATAATGCTGATATAACGTGAATATAACATTCATTATGTACACAGCGCTGTGTACTTCTTTCGTACGCAAATTTTTTCCCCAAAATAGTGAAGAGATGAATTGCGACTGTGTGATTGCAGCTTCGAACATCTATGCGGGTATGACCCATACTGGATTGAATGTATTTTTAAGTTATTTTTGTAGCTGAATTACTCTTTTTATGTATCGACTTAGGTCAGCTTAACAATATTTACAAAATCTAATATTTATGTGATATTTTTGAACTATTAAACTGATATATTTACTCTCAAACCATCAGGACTTTTATAAAATGGATGAAAGTAGATGTTCGATTTGTAAGTAGTAATGTTTCAGGTGTTATATATATATATATTTCATGTGAGTGTGGAGA